GACCGTTGGCTTTGTTTGCTACTACAAGCGGAGAAACCCATGATACCAGTCCACGTTTTACTTCGATTATTTCCCTTGCCAACAGCTCATCTAATTTTTCGTTTACAGCACTTTCGAGAGGAATCGGTACCCGTCGTAACGGCTGGTGAACAGGAGTCACAGTTGGGTCCATCTGAATGCGAACTTGGATACCAGCTATCTTGGAAAACGGCACCAGCTTCCAATCCTTGTTAACTTGATTAATCTCCAAGCCTATTTTGAGAATTCCAAGTTGCTTGGAGGTGGAATCCCCCAGCAGGTTTCTCTGTCCTTCTTCGGTCACAATAAATTCTGCCTCTGTTGAACGATTATCGATTTCCACTGAAGCTTCGAATGTCCCCACGATACGCAAAGGCTCATTACATCCATACGCTTTGAGAACTTTGTTGCTGCCTTTTGTGTTCACTGTGATTAGATTTACTTCAGAGCCAGAATCAATAAACACTGCTGTCGAAATTCCTCCTATCTTACATTCGAAGGAATTTGTATCGTTGCCTGTATAGAAGGTGTAATACACCTTCTTTTCCGAATCGCCGGACGAAACCGAAAGTTCCGGTGTAGCATCGTTATCTTCTACCGAATGCACTTTTCTCGTATACTGCGTAACTTGAGAATCATATGGCCTTTTCCGACAGACTTTCTCGAAGTGTCCTGATTTCTGGCATCTTCGGCAAGTTTTGCCTCTCGCAGGACAGGATGGAGTCTTTGACATGTGACCGTATTGACCACAGGCAAAGCATATGATAGCTGCCTCATTCCTTTCCAAAAATCTTCCTCCTGAAAATCGGCGCACAATCTTATCCTGCTTGCGTTCACTCCGCGTTTTCAATCCTGCACGGGGCTCTGACTTCTGGATTTTGAAGACCTCCGATTGACCACCTTCATTGCCACTTTTCAGCTCTTTTTCCTGCAAGCGAACGCTTTCTAATGATTCCCCGAGAGATTCGATTTCCCGCAAGGACTGATCCTTCTCCAAAATTTTCCTTCGCAGTTCCTGGGAATTACACCCTTCGACAATAACATCGACGAGCATAATTTCTTCAAGGACGTTTTTGACTTCCTTTGCATACTTCTCAAAACCGCAATCTGACAACTGTTGACGTAAACGTAGCAAAAAGTGTGAAAATCTTTCATTCGATCCCTGTTTCATGTTGCGTAATTTATGCCTCTCTAGCACATCCTGATTGCGAGGTTTGAAGTACAAATCCAACCGTTCAACGGCTATGTCATAAAAAGGCTTCTCCAACAGCACTAATGGAAAATCTTCAGTCCCATCCAGGCTTCTAAAAACTTTCTGCAGTTGTGGACCACCCAAGTGCAACATCTTGGAGCGCTTCATCTTTTGATCCGTTATTTGATACGAATCAAAGTAGCACTCCAGAGCACCTTTCCACTCTTGCCATTCTTTTGCAAGTCGTGCACTTTCTATCTGCTCACATTTAAACATAGGTATCGGACGACTTTCATCCATCTGAAACCATAATCAAAATAAAATGCACTGGTTACCATTTTATCACCTTTTTTTTTTTTTTTTGCGGCTGTTGTGGGTAATTCAACCTTTAATTAATAATTTCAATAATCGAAAATAAGAACAACAAAAAAAAACCTCTATTGTGATTTGTCAATATACTCATGTCATACTACTCATACTACATGTCAACCTTGCCGGTTTGCGTTGGAAAGATCACCAGACACCCTGTCTGAAGTCGTTCACCTTGGCCCCCTAGCGCTAGGCAACATCTGTCGGGCACCCTGCCTCGGATACATCATGCTGAATTTCATCAGACACCCTGTCTGCAGGCATACACCTAGGCCTCCCTAGCACTATGCACATCCACCGGGCACCCTGCCTCGGATACATCATACAGAATTCCACCAGACACCCTGTCTGTGATCATCGACCTAGGCCCCCCAGCACTAGGCAACATCCACCGGGCACCCTGCCTCGGATACATCATACAGGAATTCCACCAGACACCCTGTCTGTGATCATCGACCTAGGCCCCCCCAGTACTAGGCAACATCCACCGGGCACCCTGCCTCGGATACATCATACAGGAATTCCACCAGACACCCTGTCTGTGATCATCCGCCTAGGCCCCCTAGCATTAGGTAACATCCTGCCTCGATACCGTCATACAGGCCTCTCGCACTGGGCAATTAAAACACCATCACACGTCGTCCACATCACGTCACTTTTCATATTTCCTGCTACTTGACCGCTACTATTTAACTTTTTTTTAAGATTCGCACAGTAAACAAAAACCCAAATAACTGCTTTTACTCCTGCTCTTGAACTCCTTCGCATCACCAGAATGAGGAAAATATTCCGGAATACAAGGTTATTTATTTCACAGCAACAAAATATGCAGCTCTTCTACATGTCTATATGTTTTATTATTATCCACATCCTTCATGACAGTCACAAAACGAATCCTGTGCAACATAACCAACGTTCTCTATGAATGAGTGATTTTTTTTTCCATTGTGGTATCGGTCTTCTTGTTTTCAATAAAAAAAATCGTCAGCCATCTTGCTGTATTTCTACCGCCGGGGGCTTGGGCTTCACCCCCGCTGATTTTTCTCTGAATCTCGTTTTCGCTGAAATTTAATTAGCAAATAAATTAGTTCATATTATTTACCTCAAGTAATGACTCGTCACTCCAATCTCGTCGCCAGGTGTAATAGTCTGATTAAAACAGGCGGTTTCCTTCACATCAAACAATCTTTATTCCCCGCAAGGCACGATCATCTCACACTCTGTCTCTCGTGTGTCTGTCCTTTTTCTCCTTCGTTCCCTTCTCTCGTTCGCTCTCTGTCATTACTGATTCAATGTTATTCTACTATCCAAGGTATGTGGATAATGATAGAACAGTAGAACCCTACACATAGCAAAAACAATAAAATATCTGACCAAAGCACGCTACTGACATCTGGCTCCATATTCTCGGTAAATATTTAGCTAAACCATGAACCCGCATGCAAAAGTTATTAATTATTCATGTTTTGTTGTTTTTGACATCATCCACATCCAGGAGGGCCAGTCACTTTCGAATGTATGGGAATGGTAGGAAACCATTTGGAAATTCATGAAAATTTTCAGTTTTTATTCATTATCGTCTTTATGGGTAGTTTTAGATGCACAAAAATTGCACGAGTATATAACCATAGAGGTAACTCTAAGACTAGAAGGTCCCAAAATAACGTGCTCAACTTTTTGGCTCAGCTCTGGTACTATCTTCGGTCCCAAGCTAATCGATTCACCCCTCGAAACATAGGAAAAACCAATCACCCCTCATTTTATCTGTCAAACTTTCATAACGAATCAAAACAAACATTCCGTAGTACTAGAATTTCGACTAGAATGGGATACGTTAATCGTTTGCTTGGGACCAATAGGCTAGTCAAGTAGTGAGCCAATTTAAAATCGTAAGTTTCGTATTGATTGTTGATATAACCACAGACAAACAGACATAACACTCGCAAGTTGTTCATCGAACAAGCATTTAACGGTAAATTTAAAAATATCGTAGTTGGTAGTACCGCCACCTGTGGCGTGCATAGTCAATTCCCTTGCGTTTGACGTTTACACACTACCGCCATCTGTTCAGCGTACTACCCACCACAGTGTATTCAACAGATGGCGGTAATGTTTTAGCAACGATGTTTTACAGTGATAAATATTCAATGTGTTATGTCTGTTTGTCTGTGATATAACTATGGTGATAAGGTAAACACTCGTTTATTTGTTTCCTTCTGTGGCAGCATGTTAAGTCACAAATCGTGGATTTTCTCTCCATACTGCAAAAATTATTTTCCTATCACTGAAGGGGCGACATCTCTCGGATCTTCATTAGAGCTACTACTGAAATCATATAATTAATTGGTTCGTGTCTGATCTAATCTGGACAAATAATTTTTATCTAGATAAAAAATCCTATGGTTTGACAGTTCGGATCACTGCACATTTAAATCGGCCGTTTAAGATTTCCGGCCATAAGTCAGAATCAAGTGTCATGTCGGTTTGTTGGTGGAGTGACGTCGTCACTTGAGTGCTCAGGAATGGTTACAATATTTTTCATATTTTTGCTTCTAACACCAGCAAGCTGACTGTTGGCTCGGACGCTCGGACCATAGACGAGTGCACGGATGGATTTGAGTTCACTCACTCGACAAAAAGTGACACAACAGCGGGGCCCTGTTTACTAAAAATGAACACATGAATAATACTCACGTAACATTTGAAACCGGCCTATCAACTTTCGTACACAAAACTTGTTAAGCCTTTTTCGCGCGAACCGAATACGCCCACGCAAACTAACATCACCATCGGGTAGGGGAAATTCCCCCCTTTCCGATAGTGCTCTTGGTTTGCGTGGACGTACTTTGGTTCTCGTGGAAAGGACCTAGCAAATTATTTACAAAAGTTGATAGGCCCTTTTCAAATGTTACGTGAGCATTATTCATGTGTTCATTTTTAGTAAACATGGCCCCGCTGTTGTGTCAAATTTTTTTCAGTAGATGAACAAAAGTTCACCCGTGCACTCGTCTATATATAAACGTCATTGGTTCATATCTCGGATCATAATATCAGGGGAAACATGTCAGAAGGGTCTAACTCGAAACGTAAACAATAACTTGGATCGTCGGTTTCTTACGAATGACTACATACCTACTCAAACTAACTAAATAATCTGACATAGTAATGTTTGTTATATGAGCTAGTGTAATCAGATTCCGTGGGTGTGCGGTCATTCAAGAGAAATCGTCGTTCAAGTTTTGAGCTATACCCTTCTGACATGTTTCTCCTGATATTATTTGAGCCACCACGTGAGTGCCCTTGTGAGTGACTTGATCGTTGTTCTTTTTGGCAATCAGCTGTTCTCACTGTCAAAAGACTTTGAAAACGCCAAACGCCCTAGAAAAAATAAACAAATAAAATATATGGGGCTGAACATCGGTAACGATTTGTATTAGGTATTTTAATTTAGAATAGAATTTTTAAGGGAATTTTCAATTGATTATTCGAGAAATTGCAAGAAAAACAGTGTATTTTATTGGTGCGTCATTTACGGTACGCTTCATCAACAATAAATTGTCATCTTCATCAACATCTAAATTTTAGAGTTCTAAAGAGGCAGTACATAAATTATTATTGCTTCTAGGGTAATCGTTCCAGTCTCAGATGGATTTCGACAGTCCAGACGTAGAAAAAGACTTTCCCGGGCTGTATGCTTCGGAAACCGGTGGTAAAAGCAAAAAGGATGACAAGGATTGTGAGTATTCGGAATTTTATGAACAGCAGTGATAGTTATTTATTCGCCTTTTTCAACAGTTGTCGAAGCAGAAGCGGAAAAAGTAAGCAAGAAAGAGCTTCTAATCGGTCGGAGAAAGGACAAGAAAGAGAAAAAATCTGCCTACGCCGCTTTGGAAGGTGAAAGCTCTCCAGAGGAAGAGTTGGAAACAAAGTAAGATTTCGTTGGCTAAAGGCCAAAATAGATGTAGGGTTAATTTCTCTAATGTTTTTTTTTTCAGAAGCCCTTCGAAGTCAAAAAAATCGAAAGCATTCAAATTTCCTTCCAAAAGCAAGGAAAAACGCGAAAAATCCCGTGAGAAAGAGAAACCGGAATGTTTTAAATTAGAGGACACGAAACAGCCAGAAAAGCCGGAGAAGGAGAAGAAAAAAGATAAAGATAAGAAAGATAAGGACAAGAAGGAAAAGTCTAAGGATAAAAAGGACAAAAAGTTAAAGCAAAGTAGCGTCAGTGAGGAAGTTCTAGAATTAGGAGATGCTCAGCCCATCTTCGGTGTTTCGCTGGGGCTTGCAGTAGAACGTAGTCGATGTCACGACGGTGTTAATCTCCCGCTGGTGGTGCGCGACTGTATTGACTATTTACAAGAGCATGGATTGCGAAGCGATCAAATTTATAAAGTAGAAGCGGTTAAGACGAAGCTGCAGCAGCTTAAAAAGTCCTACAACAATCGTGAAGGAAGCTTTACAAACGAGTTTGACACTCCAACAGCGTGTGGATTGCTGAAGCTATTTCTTCGAGAACTTCCGGAACCGATCTTGACTACTGATTTATCGACACGATTCGAAGAAGCAGCCTCGCACTCGCAGGTGTCGCAGCAGGAGCAAGAGCTTGTCGGTCTGGTCGAGCAACTACCCAGCTGCAATAGAACACTACTGTCGTGGGTTATCCTTCACCTGGATGTTGTGACGCAAAATGAATCGTACACCAAGATGAACGCCCAGAACATTGCAATGCTTCTCAGCCCAACGTTGCAAATGTCCCATCGCTTGTTCGTTGCGATTCTGTGCCACTGCAACAATCTCTTTGCGGATACAGAGCTGCTAAAGTAAGTAGAATTTGTATTTGCCTGTGTCTGACGTTTTTCGACTTAAAAAGTTTAAATTGCTTTAAATATATTTCTTCAGTTTTCTACGGATTTTGATGAAACAACTTTCAATCGATCAGCCATTGTTTCTAGTTTTTATATGCGTTAAGATTGAGTACAATTTGTATTTCAATTTTAAAACACACATGACAATTTATTGGGGTAAGAACCGAAAACGGATCCCCACTTCGTTATAAAATATTTTAAAATTGATTGAAAATTTCTACTCCAATTTTAGACATATAAAAACCTAATTCCTGAATTTATTTATTTATTTTATTGTTATTCATCTGAAATCGGTGGTCTTAATGAATAAACATTTGAGCTTGTCACAACGGTTACACAGTTACAAAATCGACGCACTAGTAATTTTATTTTTAAAACGGCTAGATGTTTCGCCAATGTTTATCCAAACGAAGTACGTCGTAGAGGGCGTTGAGCAGCACGACAGTCCAACATGGAGCGCAGACGAAAATAGCCGACTTCACCATTCAGCAACCCCTCTACGAATGTAGGCTACGTCTTCTTTGAAGCGTGTCCATGCCTAACAGTTCTGCAATGATCGGGATAGGCTGGAAGGAATTGGTCGTATCAGCGCACAATACAAAGACTTCAAGCAGTAAAGATTAGGAAAATCCTTCGCAATTTTCGAAATAAAGCCAAGTTGTCGGTTTGCCTTGGAAATTATCGACGTGTAATGAGACTTGAGTCAATTGCGGATTCAGCAAAACTTCGAGATCAGTAATCTCTTCAACCCTTTGAAGGGATGTTGTTTTAAACGATGAAACGTTATCACGCAGTCCAAGCCTAATTTCGATGCAACGTTTTTGATAAACAGTATAAACAGCAGTGTCGATTTTCACGTGGAGTTGAAAATCCTGATCGATTGCAAGTTGTTTCATCAAAATCATTCAAAAAACAACATGGTTGGGTTTATTAGGTTGATACACGTCAGGTACGTTACATTGTTACAAGTTTTCGCATCCAAGGACAAACGAGAGAAGTCTTATTTTGGATTTACTCTTTTAAATGTCAGATGAATTGTTTGCCCGTTTTCGGCCCTGCAAGTGTTTATTTGAAAGTGAAATAGCACATTTTTTTAAATAAAATCTCAAATAAACTACGAACATGTATGAGAAAGAATGTTGTAAGAGAAAAATAAAGTAAAGTCGGCCTAAATGCCCCTAATTTGGGCCCATGCTTAAATTCAGCAATCGACTAAATTTTTTTTCCTTGATTTGTTTTCCGTCGATCTTGTTTTCCGTGCTGAGCATCAATGCTACCGACGCCAGGAAGGCAGCTCCCACACCTGGGCCCTACCTATCGACCCATCAACTCATAGACCGGGGACCAACGGCTTTACTTCCCTTCATGAATGGATGGAGACGACTCTCTTTTGAAGACTTGATGAGATCTGGGGTCTCATTGTACAAGTTGAAGCGAAGCATGGACGCTTGTATGACAAAGTTTGTCGTTTCGACTTGCAAAATGAGGATCCTGTCCTAGCAGGAGTAAACAGAAGAAGGTGAAGTGCTTAGAGTTTTAATTAAATATTTCTGCTTTGTTTATGAATGTAACGATAGAATTGATGTAGATGCACCAGAATGAAAAAAAAAACATGTAAATTCTGTTGACAAATTAACATTCAAATAAAACCAACTTGTTTAAAAAACACAACAAAGTGGCCAATAGCTTTACGTAAAATGGATAATGTCGTCTAGGTACTTTACATAAATATGAATGTTATTTTATGTTCTTTTTTATTTATTTATTTTATCAAGATCCACAAGAACCACTACTAATTGGATGCTATTATTAGTTGTACACATCTATACACTAGGAAAACGGTTTATTTGGGAAAGAGTTAGTCTACACAACAAGTTCGGAAAGAATCGATAGCTTTGCTTTCAAAAACTTTGTTTTGATACACACTACGAAAAAGACATGTAAATTTCAGTGTCCTGAGACCGACACATGCAAGCGGGCCTTTTGACATAAGAATCAGTTGAAAAGGATCAAACGCACTTTTCGTCGAGTTGCATATGTTTCAGTTTCAGGACACTTAATTGTACATGCCATGTTTGTTTACATCCCATGATTTGCGTCAAAGCTGAATTACGTCTCGTGTAAAAATAATAATTTCTAAGTGTGTAGGTCTTACCCAGGTGCTGAAATATACCGCGGCTTCAAGAGACCGCAACTTGTAGGTTTACCCGTGTATATTTCTTCAACGTGCCATTCTGGAGAATATCTAAGGGACGCTATTTGAATCTTTGAACTGTTGATTTTCATAATATTACCTGATCAACCATAATCAACCAATCCACAAAGTTTCATGAACTCAAACAAAGCTCCCTGAACTTCTTCCCAATATATTGAACTTATTTGAAGTATCCTGAATTTATGAAAAGTTCTGCGAAATCTTGGAAAGTTGAGCCCATTTCTACGATTTGTCCATAACTTACACAAACTACAACTAAATTTCTACCAAGATTTCTGAACTAGTATACGTATTTCCTATAACTCATACATTGTTCGCTGAACATCTACAATGCGCCCAAAATTTCCAAGCATTTTTTTTTCCTAGCCTTCTCACCAACATCCATCGCCAATTCCAAACTTCCAGGAAGACCCTTAATCTTTCTACGGATTTTCCTGAGCATATGGGTGACACAAAGTTTTCAAAACTTCCAGGAAGTATCAAAAAACTCTGAAGTTCTTTGCAGTTTGCTGAACTTCTACAATATTCCTTAAGCATTTAAGCATCTACGAAACTTCCTGAACTCCTACAAAGTTTGTTGAGGTTCTTAAAAATTAAACGAGCTTCTGCGAAGTTCCCAGAACTTTTACAAAAATCGATAAAGGACTGCCCTAAAATTAAAAGAGGTTCCGAAATTTTAATAAAGTTTCCTGTAATAACAAAAGTTCAAAGTTCCCAAGCAGCGCCGGTGGTGTAGTGGCAAGCGTGATTATCTCTCATCCCAGCAGGCCTGGGTTCAATCCCAGTCGGCGCCGCCGGGATGTTCTGAGGGATAACATCTCTGATCACGCCTTCGGAATGGAAGTAAAGCCGTTGGTCCCCGGTTCATGAGTTGATGGGTCGATAGTTAGGGTCCAGGTGTGGGAGCTGTCTCCCTGGCGTCGGTAGCATTGGTGCTCAGCACGGAAAACAAGATCGACGGAAAACAAACCAAAAGAAAAAAAAACCGAAGTTCCCAGCTTGTACAAGTTTCCCTCTTCTACGCAGTTTTCCAGATTTTTTTTCGGAATTCTCCTAATTTATATTAAATTAGCAGCTATGGAAACGTAATATTAGAACGAGAAATGCTCCGCTCCGATGAAACGCTAGAAAAAATGCTTTTTTACTGCGTAGCTACTCAGATTTACTGTCCAACCCGTGTTTTTTTTAAACCAGAACAGCGGTGTGACGGGCTTCTACCCGAGCAAAGCTGGAGATCAATTTGAAATTAAAATTTGCTGTTATGATGTAACTTATTTTGAATACTCCAGTTGATCTCATTTTGGTTGACTTAACGGTTAACACAGCAAAAATGAGAGCAAACTTTTACACTGTTGAATCAAACGGAAAACTAATCGTGCTTTCAATGAAATCAATTTGATTTCTGATTTTGCATTCATAATGTTTAACTGGCCGGGCGTAAATCGTAAGAATCCATGCTTCTTACGCTGAAAGACTTGAGCTCAAATCTCACCCCAGGCAAATTACGGAGTATCTAAAATGTGTTAGAACTAAAAGCAAACTTTAATAAAGATTTGCTTTCATTTTGTTAGCCGACTTTGCTCGGGTAGGGTGTATAGTGTTGGGCTAAGAACTGAACCCTGTGGAACTCCGATGGGTATGTTGTGACTTTCGGAAAAGTACCCCCGTACTGCAAAATCAATAAAATTAACTTTTCCGGGGTAAACTAATTTCGATCACGGATTTGGCCGTGCGGTACCTAATTTTTTATTATTATTATCTATTATCATTTATTACAATTTATGAAATGTACGGACTTCGGTCCCACACACGTTGGATTAAAAATAACACGCAAAAAAGGCTCCAATAAGTGCAAAATTAACGGACAGCCACATCTCTTCGAGACGGAGTGGTACCCCTTCCTTGCGTCAATGGAATTATTCGATACAAAAATACTGCGTCTAAGATGCTGTTCGTTTTGTTTAAAAAATGAGAGATAAAGTTTTCAATGATACCATCATCAAGACACATGCTGTCGCTTGTACAAACAAAGATAACGAAGGTCTTCTTTTGAAACTTCTCCTTCTCTGAAAGGTGACGATGTTTATTAATTTCACAGTCATTACTACGTACTGTCTTCAATCAGATATTCAATGAAGCGATTCAAAAAACAGAAGATATCATTACTCTCGAGGCTGTTTTTGAAGTACCGAAATGCGTTGTTTGCGATAATTTAACTGATTATTATTAATTTTATATTGATTTTAAAATGCAGATATGTTCCTCCTATCACCGCATCAAGCCCCAATCTACCGGAAACACCGGACGAAATTTCGACAGAGTTGAAGAAGCAAGAGAGCCTACTGGCACAAATACATGCTGAGATGAATGCAGGATTTGTATCAAAGAAACGCGAAGAGCAGCTATGGGAAGTGCAGCGAATCATTACACAACTCAAAGTATGTGATCGAACGATGCAGATGTATTGTTGACCATGACCTATTTTCATAAATCTATCGTTTATGTTTCAGAGAAAACTTAAATCGTTCGAGAAAAAATCCGATTGTACCCAGAAAAGTTTGGACGACACCGTTGATGGTGATATTTCAATCGATTTGAACAAAGCCAAGTTATCCTGTTCCGATGACGAATCCTCAATAAAAACCGTCACTGGCATATCTACTGAATCGGCAACGAACACTGAGACGAAAAATACTCCTCATGAAACACCTGAGGATGTTGCACTCATCGAGCAGAAAATAAGCGAAACTGAATCACCTGAAAACGTGCAGGCTGACCAACCGGCAACCGTCGTTCACACAAGTGCCGATCCTGCGAAATCGGCTGAACAAGTGATTGTCACAGATAATGGCTTCATGCTGCTCCAAGAAAATCATCCGGACTATCTGCTGTTGATTCGTTTGCAACTTGAAAATCAGGAGTTGCTAAATTGGAAGGCACAACTGCAGGCTAGAATCAATGCAGAACGAGTGGAAATCGTTCGAATGAAAAAAATATTGATTACAGACAACGGAATTACCCACGGGCCAAGCAGTTTGGATAGTACTGTCAGTGATAATGAAGATTACGAACGGTTGATTGCTCATTATGCAAAAGAAAATGCACTTTTGGAACAAAAGCGTCAAATGCTCGCAAAAGAAATTTTTGAGGAAAGTAAAGCTTTGATTCAGATGCAAGTTGATCTGGCTTTGAATCGTTATAAAATATAATTGACTTTTAATCAACTAAATGACTAAACTCTCTAAGCATGCATTAATGTTCATGTTAAATAAATGTACACTCGGAATGAAATAGTCGTTTTGAACTTTTTATCACTTTCTAACTTCTACAGAAGGCAAAAACCAGTTAACCCGCGACAACAGTCTATTTTTCGCTCTCTATGACGGAAAAAAGTCTGCTGAAACTATTGCCGAAAATGACGTCAGGTTTTGAAATAGCACGGGGAAATTTATTTATGTGGATTTTCAATATTCCTTCGCGTCTGGGATTCTAAATTTTGCCATGCTCGGGATATCAATAATTTTGCCATGTCTTGTTCGAAAAATATGCAATATGTATTTCTGAGTGTGGATTGTCCATGAGTTCTGACTTCTGACACTAAAAATTTGTTTGTTAAATATCAGAATCCTTGATGTTTTACCATTCATACAGAGAGGGTACACACATCGCTTGAAAACCCGACTTTCGATCCGAGGCCATTTCATATACCAATACTCAGCTCGACGAGATCGGAAAATGTCAGTGTTGTTAATCGTTAAAGTCAGCGTTAACGTATTCAATGGGAATTTGCATTGAAGACGCTTATGGACGTAACTTCATTAACAACCCTGGTCATGGTGGCCCTGGTGTGTCATGGTCCCCTGGTGTCTCTGTGACCGTTACTATCAACAAATGTCAATCGATCGATTATGTGTATTCCATTCAATAGAATTGGTTTTTCTACGTAGCCTCTGGGAAAATCAAAATTATCCATAGGAGGGTTTCGTATGATTTTAAAATTTTAAAATTCCTCTCCATCCTCTAAACCTTCATCAATATACACCATATTTTACACAGACTCATATTTCGGAGCTATGAATCAAACTGGAAGTCCTATAAGATTGCTATTTCTAAATAATGCGCTCTAATAGACATCTAATGTGATATTTAAATTTAGTGTTACCTGTCGTCGTTGGATACAACTATATTCAAATGAAACCATCTGCATTTTATAGTATTTATAATCATATTTATATGCATTTGAGTAATTTGCTCTCAAAAATGGGTTATTTTTGGTTAAGAAACTATATATTTTTGCAATAAGCAAAGATAGAAACATACTAAATTCTACGAAGTTGTATATTTTTGCTTTCTTCACATCTTTGTATGACAACCATAAAAAAAGCTAAAATAAAAAAAACTGATTTTAAGGGGTCATAAAATTAAAAATACGATTTTACTAACTTAAACGAGCACATATAAAGTTAGTGCCTTGAATAAACATTTGAAAAAAAAAAATGATTTTCATCTAATAGCGTCAAAAGTTAGATCTTTCAATTTCAAGAATCTCTCCTGACGACACCACATACATAGAATCAAGTTTTCACACTCAAATCTCAAATAATCACGTTATTTTCGTTTTTAGACCACTGTAAAGAGTGACTGTGACGAAAATAAAATCGAAGACAACAAATCAAGAAGACTGGCAACTGTTCCATTTTCTCTTACGAACGTTATGAGACAGGTACAATCGCGTCATCTGCCACTCAAAGGTAAATGCTTCGAACGAATTTGATAGCAAAGATTACATCCTCAGACGAAGCGTTTGTGTATTTGCTCATTTTTCTATGCGTTGCTTCCACCTTCACTCGAGCGCAGCGCTACTGTATCTGTCGCTTGAATTTTGGCAAAGTTACCAGTCTTCTTGATTTGTTGTCTTCGATAAAATTTAAATAGAGGAAATGGATGTAATGCTTGCCGAAATGCCTCTAATATGGGCCCATACATAAATTCAGTACCGTCCCAATGACGCGTTCATCTAGATAAAATTGATAAATAGCAGATTTTTAGCGATGGGCAAAATCTTAGATCCATAGGCCAACATGAGATTAGGCCCGCCCATCAACGTTCAGGTTAAAAACTAGCCAAGGAGAGGAGTTTGGAAAGGTATTTAAATTGATACCATTCCATAATGTGCATGCTGTCAAAAGGCTCGCTAGAATTTCATGGACTCATAAAGATTTTTAGAACATTGTTCAATACTTTACAAAATAGGTGAGTTGACAACCTGGAAGAAGCGGAATACCTAGCCCTGGTCCTCACAAGTTCCTATTTCATGCCTTCTCGAGTCATATGATAGCAAAAGACTGGTTGGCAGCCGATCAACGCGAGGATGTGCAAGTTGAGGATTAAGGGCCGTTTCTTCAACTACAGCATCATCAACGTGCACTGCCCACACGAAGGGAGACCCGACGACGAAAAAGAAGCGTTCTATGCGCAGCTGGAGCCAGGGTTACTTCCATTCACTTGCTATAAAAAAATGTTTTTCAGAATTATGAAATCATTTGATGTTATAATGATAATTCGACAGTGAGCATGCATAAGGGCCTATACGCGATGATCGATTCTCTTCGTCGATGTTCTCTTTCGTTAATAACTCGCTAGATTTAACGTTTATCGGTGCGTTTGCTGTTGCTTTTGGTAGCCAATACAACCTGTTACTACTCTGCATTGAACAAATTCAAGAAAATTGTTTCGCTTAGCTGTAGCAATGCAAAGAGAAAATCGATGAAGAGAATCGATCATCGCGTATTCGCCCTTATGCATGCTCACTGTCGAATTAGTACTTGTGTGGAGAGAGGACAGTAACTGTTGTTGTTATTCACATCGTCGTGATTGTGCGCTACTAAAATTGTCGATTTTTTATCACACGGGCTATCGTTATTCGTTTTTTTCCGTTCGGTATACCTGTAATATTGTACTGGTTGTTAGTGGAAAGTGCAGTTCGTTGCGATAATCATCTAATTAGAGCATATTTTGTGTTGTGAAAACAGTGAAAAAGTTATCCAATCAGACATATTGTCTAGCATTGGGCGATCTTGAGAATCCAATTCCTCTTTGCGTATTAGAGCATCTCCACCGCTGTTTCTAAATCACTTTTGGAAACTGACTCAGCATGACTTTCGCCTGTGACCAATGCGCTAAACCAGTTAAAGGCGATGAAGAATCCGTCTCCTGCATGGCTTTTTTGCGACAGGATGATTCACCTAAAGTGCGGGTGCAGTTTCGAACGCCTTTGGATACGGTTGTGTTTTAAGTTTGTTCTCTGTTTTGTGCGTGCGTTCGCTCTCATAGTTTTCGGCTGCAATTGCCAGATTATCGCTGGCGCTCTGCCTCCCGGACGTTAATACGTGTGTGATTGGTAGTTTTCTCGCTTTCCGGGAAGTTTTAGAATAGAGAAAGAAAACGTGATTCAACATGTTTGCAAGCATCAGAAGAGATGTCGCGATCTGCGTTGTTTGATTTTCTCCCGGACCAGAAATTAGTGGCATCGCGAGTGATAATTTTTAATTTCAGTTTATTTACGCGCTGCAAGGTGCGTGAAAGAGCTCGGCACATTCGGTGTTGATGTTGGCTCGCTTGTAACCTTTTTGGTTGTGTTTTCCAAAGAAATTGATCGAAATTGTACCAAAAGTGCTTCTGAACGTGTTTCGCAGTTGGGGGTGGTGAAATTCGTGAATTCTCGGTTTATGGTGAGTGAAAATTCCGTGTCACAAAATTGCTCACCGAGTTTCCTTTTTTTGCCGTTCGGCGACGACGGGTTTGCGAGAGAAAAATAAGCATCGGGAATTTGCTCCCGGATGTATTGATTTGGTGAGTACGTTCCAGTTGAATATTGTTCTTATACATATCTCGATTGCATTTTCGAGGGGACGTTCGGAGAGCTTTAAGATTTAGGCGTTGTTGCTTTTGCGGGCAGATGAGTTGGTCGCCGGTAAGGGCCAGCAAGTGCTGCCAGCAGATGAATCAAGAGGTATTCGAAACAAAATTGATAAGAAATGTCCATTCAAATCGATTTAATACAAATTTCAAAACTATATACGTGCCAGATTTGGAAATAATATTTTTTGAATCTGGAAGTGTGTTTATGATACCATTATCCATTTGATAAAGGTAGAGTGAACATGCGGGGCTTATTGTAAGTAAAAGTGACCTCGGAGTGGTCTTGAATTACCAGGCATTCTGAAATGGGTCACTGGAGCTGCAATAGAGCTAACACCTTCTAACTCCCGGACTAAACCTGCTTTAATTTAAGGGTAATAAAAAGCAGTTTTCTTCCATAATAACACTGCCGGACAGTGGGGGTTAGATTGTACACACACACACACACACACACATAATGATAATTAGTACTTGTAAGTTACAAGAAGGGATCGTGAAGTATGTGTGTGACACATAAAACCTGTCAGTATTACTTTCAGTACGTCACAATCAGCGATTTAACGATTCGTGAGCGCTCACTCTGAGTGAACGCTCGCGAATCATAAGATCGCTGATTGTGACGCTCTGAAAGCGAAATTGACTGGTTTTATGACTCAAACACATACTTTACACGCTCTTCTTGTTACTTACAAGTACAACATACCATTTTATCATCTAATGATTTCATAATTCCGAAAAACATAGTTTTATAGCAAGTGAGTGGAAGCAACCCTGGCTGGAGCAGGTGTACGACGGCTGTTCGCAACGGGACGTCAAAATCGTCATCGGCGACATGAACGCTCAGGTAGGCAATGTACAGACCGGTAATCGGGCCAAACAGCCTGCATGCCGTATCGAACGACAACGGCCAACAATGCGTGAACTTTGCAGCCTCTCGGGGTATGGTAGTTCGAAGTACCTTTTCCCCCCGCAAGGATATCCACAAAGCCACCTGGAGATCACCTGACCAACACACAGAAAACCAAATCGATCACGTTCTAATCGACGGGAAATTCTTTTCCGACATTATCAACGTCCGCACGTACCGCAGTGCGAACATAGATTCGGACCACTACCTAGTTACAGTATGCATGCGCTCAAAACTCTCGACGGTGCATAACACACGTCGAAGTCGAACGCCGCGACCCAACATTGAGCAACTACGGGACGCCGGAGTCGCCCAGGACTACGCGCAGCAGCTGGAAGTTGCACTACCCACGGAAGAGCAGCTTGGCACCGCTTCTCTTGAAGATGACTGGAGGGACATCCGTTCCGCCATAGGTAGTACTGCTGCAGCGGCACTAGGTACTGCAATCC